TTATTTTGCATTTTTAAGGCGATTTTTACGTAATATTACAAATATTACGTTTATTTTGTGTATTTAAACTAATTTTTGTTTATTTTAAGCTTTTTTAATATGTGTTGTAAAGGTAATCCCGATTAGTATCTATAGGCAATTACCTACTCCAGTCCATTGATATTGAAAAAGTCATATAATTAATTGTTGATTTATCCGATAAGATTAAATATCGAACGAACCCATAACTATTTAGGTATACAATAGGAGCTCTAGTAGTGAATTCGACACGTACCTATGTGGTTCTACCGATCTTAACTGTACAAAATGCCAACAATTAAGTCAACAGTAGGAAGCCGTTTACGTAGTTTTGAGAGCCGATTTGTGAGTTTAGTGCCTATATTTTTTCTACGGACGGCATGGTGCTTTTTTGTAAAGTTTGTAATGTTGCAGTTGTAAGAAATTTACAATTCAACAACACATCAGTCGAGATAAGCATGCTCGTGGAATTCAACGAAAACTGACTGAAGTGAAACAAAATAATCAAGTACTGTTATCTAATTTAACGAATAATAGTGATCAATCGTCATTTAATTTAGAGCTTTGTGAAACATATTATTGGCAGCTAATATTCCACTTGCTAAATTAAATAACACAAATTTTAGACATTTTTTAGAAAAATAAATAAAATTTAAAATCCCAGACGAGTCTACATTGCGTAAAAATTATGTTGAAAAATGCTATTTAAATACAATACGAAATATTAGACACTGTATGTAGACGATAAAAAAATTTGAGTTAGTGTAGATGAATCGACAGATGTTGAAGGCCGCTGTGGTAGTAAATATTATTATTATTTGTACCCTGGAAGCAGAAAATTCAGGAAAAATATTTTTGACATACTCTGATGTCTTGGAAAAAACAAGTCATTCGGCCATTGCAAAAGCGTCCGATAAAGCCATGTTAACATTATGGCCTGAAGAAATAAAACACTACAGTGTCCTCATTTTTGTATCCGATGCTGCCCCATATATGGTGAAAGCAGGAAGAGCCATTTGCACTCTGTATTAAAAAATTGTGCATGTTACCTGCAGTGTGGCGCATGCAATTCATAGAGTTGCGGATGAAATAAGATCAAAATATGTTCAAGATGTCAATAGACTTATAAGTTGAGTAAAAAAATATTTTTAAAATCACCATATCGTACACAAATGTTTAAGGCTTTTGCTCCGGGAATTCCATTGCCACCCGAACCCGTAATCACGCGATGGGGAACCTGGCTAAATGCTGTAAATTGCCATGATGGGAATTTTACTTAAAAGTTTTGCTTGAATTAAATCATGATGATTCGACTACTATGAAATAAGCTAAAGAACTTACGTCTAAATCAAGTTTAGAGGCTAATCTAATTTATATAAAATCTAATTTTGTTTTTATTCCTTCAGAAATAAAAAACCCGGCGGCTTCTGGAATCTTATTATCAGAATCTATTCATAAAATAAAACAAATCGAGACTACATTGTCCCTTGCTCCTAATGTAACCGGAAAAACAATATCAAACAAACTGAAAAATGTTTTGATGAAAAATAAGGGGTTCAAAGTTTTAAAAAATATATCTGCTATTCTGGACTGTGAAAATACAACAAGAAAAGATGGTATTCCAAAAGACCTAACTTTAAATGATATGATTCATTTCAAATATGCCCCTGTTACTTATATGACGTCGAACAAAGTTTTTCTTCACATGAAAATATTTTATCTGACCGCCGTTGCAGCTTCCTGTTTGAAAATCTTAAGAAAATGCAATAATATGTGTACAGGTGAAAAAAAAAATGATATATTTTTCATAAAATTATTTTAATTTATGCTTTTATTGATTTTTCAGAATAATTATATCAGGAAGCGGTTACATTCACAAGTCTATTATGTTCATAATTAATAGTTATCTAATAAAAATATTTATTTTTAAAATACACTTTTTTCGCTCATATAAATACATTTTTAGGTCATTTTTTGATTTCATTTTTTTAGAGTTTTTAGGTCATTTTTGCATTTTTTTTAGTGAATTTTTGTGTACTTTTTAGATCATTAAAATCCTAGCTCTACTTGTAATTATACTTGATTGCAAAAAGACTTTTCAGCGATCAACCGTCAACCCTACTCCAAAACTAACCTGACCTACGAGCACTGCTAAATAAAGTAATATTGTAATAATTATGAACTCTATTCTAATATTCCATTTTTAAAGCTTATTTGATTCATATGCACTTGCCACGTGCGTTCATTTTACGTGCAAATATTATACTCACCAAAACTGAGTCACAGCGTGAGGTGTTCCTATTCTATTATATCGTTAACGAAATTACCAGAAAAATTATTTACTATTCGAAATTTATTCACAGTTCATTGAAATTCCATTTATCATATATTGTTGCGGTTTTAGTTACTAATTAGTCATTACTATTGTAGTAAAACTGCACAATTACTTTTATTCTATAGATAGTATTATTACTGAGATGGAAAAAATACGATAAGTATCCATTATCCATGATTAAACATATTATATGTTAAATTCGTGATGATATCAAATTTCGAGACTTGCTTTGGTATACTTCAGCTTAACATTTTCGTAATCTCGACCTAAGTAAAATTCTTGTTATCGAAACATTTTTAGATATTTCATTATTGTGATGTTTAAAAAATAAACTATGCATTTTATTGGGTATCATAAACATTCAAAAATAATTAGTAAAATATTTATACAGGGCGATCCCCAAACATGCTCACGTCTTCTTTTCTAAAAACGATACAGTTATTATTCAAAATCTGATTGTTGGCATTTTTAAATCCATACACCAACAGACCATATTTTTATATTCTTGAGAATTTTTGTATTTAAGGAGTGTCTTGTGGAGATATTAACTTCTATTTTTCAAATGAAAACACCTTTTTCTACTGTAATTACGTGGTGGACAATTTTTCTGAAAATGTTAAAGTATCAAAATCAATATTTGATCTAGTAGTATTTGAAGTTATTTAACTTCGTGTATACCTACTAAGAATCAAATGTCCTTACTGTTGTTAGATTTATAATTATGGTTATTCAAACATTTTAGTAATTTATATTAACCCATCCACATTTATGATTTGTGAAAATGGTCAGAGCACAATCATTTTTTGTACAACCTTTTTTAAAGACTATTGTCATTTATCATCATTATAATGTGCATGTAAATAACTGAAAAACTACACGTTCATATTTTGAATTCGATATATCAACATTTTCAAAAAAAATAACAATTTTAATAATTTACTGTAGAAAAGCTAGGGGGTTCGTTTCAAAAATAGAAATTTATATGGCAACAATGCACTCCTTACGTAATATAAATAACTCAACATTTTAAAACATGATACCTACCTATTCAAGTAGGCATATTTTTGAAAATTCCATGAATCAGAATTCGAATAAATGCATTATTAAAGGAAAAAATGGGAGGGGGGTGGGGGGCGAGCATGCTTGGTGGATCACTCTGTACATACCTAGTATAGTTTTTTGGTTTACTTATCCTATGATTTTGTCGAGGACAACGTACTAAAAAAAAACTTTTTTTCGTGTATTTTTCATATATTTTTATTTCATATTTTACATATTACACATTCGTATATAAGTATAGAACACTTTTAAAATATTAGTCTTAACAGTAATGGAGCTTGTCAACAAAGAAAAATACAGACGATTTTTGCTATAATTAAAAAAAAAAAACATTAAGTTCATATTTTACTACAACAATAGTACACTTGTATATTATAAATTATGTACCTATTAAATACTTTAGTTCGGACCACTATCAAAACGCCGTAATAAATTTGATAGTAAATCATTATAGAAAGGCACATTGACGATCCCCTTCTGCTAAAACGACTCGGCTTCGTGTTTTGAATAAAACTAGGTTACAGGGTTCTTTTTATCCACCAATGTTTAGAACAAATTTTGTGAAAAATTCACTAATAGCTAGAATGATGTCCATACAACCAATAACAACTATATGAATTAATCAGTCCCACCTGTAAGATCACATCAAATCTTGTTTGCAGTTAATAATGTTATTATACTATTAGTCCGTTATTTTTGTGATTTTTGAAATTAATTCTTAATTTTTAATTATTTATGCTCTAGATTTAAGCTCACCATCCCCTACCACAAGCTACGCTTATATATTAATGATGGGTTGTGCGTTGTTATATTAATACAAATAAACAAATGATAATAATAATAATAATAATAATAATAATAATAATAATATCATATATAAAACAAATCCGAATGGCTGAAATTCATATAATAAAATAAAATAAAGAATTATTGCACTATTGACAATTTTCGTGACGTTGGCGCGAGTAAGTTGCATAATGTACCTAACGTATTTTGTAGAATGGTTGACAAAAATATCGACAGGCCAGCAAAATGACTTTATTATTGTCTATTAAGTTCGCTGCCATGTATTTCACTAGTTAGATGTCACAATAATAATTAATAGCCCAAAACTATACATATTACTATAGTATACTAATTTATTAATTTAATCATAAAAACCTATTACATAATGGCCTACTGTCCATATGCTGCATACCTACGCTGTTTGTGGTAACTGAACCGTTCAGCGTTTTCGCGTTGTAACTCAACAAAAAATATAACCAGTAGCCATTATACTTCGGAGCTAGCATAGTTGAAGGTATATTATGATATTATCGAATCGATGGATCTGAATCTACAAATGACCCAGGTATATATTATTGTTGTATCTGATTCTTTAAAAAAAAAAAATAATAACAACTATATAATAATAATAATAATAATAATAATAATAAAACAAACAAAACATACGTTATAAATTATTACTATTCCAAGGTTCGATTTTCCCCCCCAACACTATCATTAAAGTCGTAACACACCATTACTACACTGTTACTACTTATAGTAATAGTAATAATAATGTTATTTTAGAGTTAATTTAGCCACGATGACGAACACATTTCCATTGGTGTTGCTCTTTTTATTTGACGTCGTTTTTGGTAGCCAAGTAAGTATTTTTTTTTTTTTTTTTATATAATATGACGTTCTATTATGTTGTATTAGATTTTTTTATGAACTCTACTTACGAGAAATAAAACCAATAATTGACAATGTTGTAGACGGCCCCATGGGTGCTCAACAGAGCCGATCCTGGCAGTGGTGGCGTGTCGTTCTTCAACAACACTGTCACTGACTCGTACATGATGGTGAGGTGGACCTGGAGGGACTCGGCTAGCGGCTTCTGGGACACCAGGTTGAGGGTGACGCTCAACAAAGAAGGTGAGTGACTTATTATACGCAGCTCTAATATAATATTATTTAATATCAATACATTTTGTAAAATTAATGAATGGTCGTAGGAACTAAATTTGGATCATTTAACAACCACTTCCGACGTTTGTTTGATGATAATATTATAATATAAAGTTTATGATTTATTTACTTGGTTAATTTTTAGTCGGTTTGTATGACTTTAACAAGTCGCAGTCCCTCTACTTTTCTTTTCAAGCGAATATTACACAATATTATACATAGGTAATACATGTGTATTCAGTAATTATTATTATAACGACTTCCGTTCTGGGTATGATATTTTATATTTCATAAAGTTTGGGGTTAAAATTTACCGAGAATTATAATTCGTGTATAAATTAAGCTATTCACGAGTGTTTTTTTTTTTATTATTCACTGGAAATCTCCATATAATATATAATGCATATGCCATTGAACGTTTATATTAACCTTCAACTCGAAGTATCAGTGAAAAAAAATCTCTTCCGGTTTGATAAATAGATTAAAAATAGCATTAAAAAAATATATATATATATGTTATTTTATAAAATGTAAAACCTAATTTGATAAATTACAGTGATGACTAGACGGTGGTTATTTAGTAGTTGGTCATCTTGTCGATGTACATTTATTGTAGTATTCACATAATTATAGGTATTAGGAATTTTTTTTTTCTTTAAATTTGTTAACATAAAAACGTAATGAAAAAATAAATCAAAAGCAATATCATTTTGTATCTACCTTTACCCGATGGTTTGATGATGAACTTTGGATAAAATAATATTATTTTTGGCAAAACTAATAACGAAAATAAAAATATTATTTTATTTTATGAAAAGTAAATGATAAAAAAAAAAACGACCGTGTCCAGACAAGGGGCATTCAGTACAATCATTATTTGGGTACTTATGTATTTACCTAATTGTAACATTTTTTTAGGAAGGATAGTTTTATTTTTTTAAATGTTGGTACATTACAGGAACATTTTTGTTATTAAATTAATTATTTTATAGGTAGTGATAAACGGACAACTAACTGAGATTTTCTATAAGACGAATTAGATTACCTATGGCCAATAGGCAATAATATGTTAATATTATGTTAAATAAACATTTAGAGTGTCAATAAACAAATTAGTTTAGTTACACTACAATAGCACAATCAAGACGTAATCTAATGGCAATGAACTTAACATAATAATATTATTTATTAAGCAACATTCATCTATACGTGTGTAAAAACTAAAAACATATTGTTGTCATTAACAAATAAATAGATTTTTTATTGTACTTTTTGTTTAGATGTTCATTACAATAATGTGATTAATTAATGTTAAAATGAACAAAATACATTAAAATTATTTAGGTACGATTATATTATGATTTCACGATCAATTTTACGCAGCGAATTGTTTTACGATAATAATATATTTTATTATTTTTAAGGGCATGAACTAGGGCATCACTTGCCCTATGGTTATAATATTTATACAACTGTTATTGTTCAAATCAATACTATATACAAGCGAAGTTTTTTGGCAAAAATCAGTTTAACGTGCCATCGGTCTACTAATATTAAAAATAAAAATAAACTGCTAATAGACAATAGTAATATAAAATAATTGAAAATATTCATAGAAATAGAGGCTGATGCGACGTCTCCGCATAGATTCGTTTTCGTATGCAATGATTCATCAATTAGTGAAGGAAAACAAAATTACAGATGAATGATTCACGGAATGAAGAATCCTCCCACCGATCAAACTTGGACGTACAAAAATAGTATTTAAAATAACAATTGTTGTGAGGCGCTTTAACTGGTAATAGGTATTTATTTTGACTATCAGCGTGGTTTATTATTCTGCTGTTTGGTTATTATTTGTCGATACAGGCCAATGACTTGAAATAAATCAAACTTCTATATATTTGCATCCGTGTCAATACACTTTTAAAATTTTATATTTTCGCCCGACTATGATCAAATTTTTTTACCCACTTGCCCGTGCCACTTAACATGTATTTTACAAGTAAATATCTATTGTAAATGTGTTGTGATTTAATGCCTCCGAGTCTACGCCATAGACCTTATACAGTTGTACTAATATACAATATATTGAGTAATGAAGATTAATAATAAATTTGTCTTAAATTTTATTTATATTGTATTAAGTTGATTGTTTCAAAAATTTGTTCTGTTTTTACAGTGATTTTAAAATGTACAGATCTATAATAACACATAATACAATTAGCATAATATTATGGACGGTAGGTATGTGTCGGGTGCGATAGAGATTCTTTGAACTTTTTTCACTATTTATGAATGACTTAAAATTGATTGCATAATAGTTTTTGTATTTCCAGTATAGGTAGTAGGTACGTACTGTTATATGCATAATATTATTATTAACAGACGAAAAAATGAGAACAATCAACCTGGGTAGACTATATAATGGCCATAATACATTTCATAACAGAGAAGCTTCAAGGCCACAGAAAACAAGTATACATCGAGCAAAAAAAAAAAAAAATGTCGTTCTTTCGCCGATGCCAGATTATAAATTTGGTGATTTGGCATTTCAGTAGTTTCGTTTTAAATAATCATTTTCATAGTTTTCGGATGTACTGCAGTATATTTATTTCATTGGAAAATTATGATTTAAAAATCTAAAAAAGTGGAAAATGTTTTTTTTTTTTTTAATAATCATTTGTCACATTTGTCTACACGACTATGGCCAATAGGGAACGATGTCGATTGCGTGTTTATATCAAAGAAATATAATATTATGATCATTGTGTTATTAAGTTGTACATTAATGTTTTTTGTAGAAATATACTTTGGTTAACGTCCATTATTAAATGTACCTAAATACGCTTATAGTTTTCGGCGTTACTCGTTATAAGAAAATTATAAGGAAATTATCATTATTTATCTTTGATGCGTGTGTTAGTGACATTTCTTTGTTCATTCATTAAATTCTTATCAAAGTATTAATATCAAACAATAAACATCAATGGCGCCGTGGTGGTACGTAATAATGGGTGTGTGTGTGTGTGTGTGGCCGAGAAAAAAACATAATATACAATACTCATTTGTTGCAATCTTAATGGATGTTGACTCTGCAATACAAACAAAATCACATTAAGAAGCCGAAATATAATGTTGTCTGTCAACATAGTTATTATTATTATGACATTATGTTGTATCAAAAAAAAAAAAAATGAATTTTCGTGGCGAAATTTAAAATATCATGGACTAATCTTAAAATATTTTAATGGAATCGAAGTTGATTGAATTATAGTTAATTACTCATTGTTGATTTGTTATAAGTAACCAAAAATATTACCAGTCCTTGGTTTCAACGATTTCGTTTCATTTTCAGGAACTTAACGGAAAGTATAGTTCCTTTTCGTGTGAAGAAACATATTGAAATTTCGTTCAATTTTTTTGACGAACGGACTATTATATTTGGTACATTTTTTCGTTCATTTATATTCTTGTAAATAAAGAGAATTCTTAATTTAATTCTTAATGCAGAAGTATCACAATTTCTTTTTTTTAGAAATTAACACAATAAAATGAGATAGGTTTATAATTTTATAAATGAACCTAAGTATGACAATATCCTATAACGTTGCAATGTTTAGAACATTTCAAGTCAGTCACATTACTGCAGTCTCGTCGGTCTTAACTCGTGTGAAACGAATTAAAAATCTTAAAAACAAAACAACAACTCCCTTATATTAAACAACGTATTACTAAAAACTATATTAATACAATTTTAAAATTATCGAGGGACGAAAAATGTTCTTTGTTTAGAAATAAATGGAGGAACTACAGTTCCTTTGTTCAAGCCAGGGACGATAAATGATTTAGTTCGTTTTTAACAAGATAAACGTAAACGTGAACTGTCACCTTTTTTAAAGTGGTTACCCAAGCACCGAATGTATATTCTTATATCACTTAATATAAAATATATCGGTAGTATTATAATTTTGAGTATTCTCTCGTCTATTGAAAACAACGTTGTGCCAAAGATTTAACTTTCTGTTGGTCCACCGCATCGAATAAATAAACCTGTGTACGTCAAAAAAATGATATTTAAAATGTTAACAATCTGATAAAATTTAAAAACTACGCAGAACTTTCACTCGGGCATTTTACTTTATTTCGACCGTCAAAGTTGTAAATGAAAATATGTCATCTGTTAATTTTGCACAGAAATAATCGGCGGTGGATTTTCGTACACCGATCAGTATGAAAACGAACTGGCGTCGGTCAGGTGGTTCAGAACTAAAATGGATGGACCGATCAAATGGAAGTACACCGCATTCTCTTCACCTCCCGACAGCTGGTGGATGACTTCGGTGGTGCCGAATGGCAATATAACTTGGGGATTCAAAAATCAGATCATCGACGGATCGTGGGTGTTTAGAGTGGGTAAGTGTCGCAAGGTTATCTTTTTGAAAAATTGCTATTGTTTTTTATTTTTATTTTTTTCATTTAACTAGTGGAATAAAAAACGATTATCTGTTTTTTAAATCTGTAAGAATACTTATTATGAGCAAAAACGTTTTAAATGCAATGAACGATGCCTGTAGAACACCCTAAATGGTAACAGTTTTCTAAAGATACACAAATGTACATAAAGTTGTAATCACTTAGCCCCTTAAAAAATCACAATTGAGATTTACGATTTTTTTAAGATGTGAAATATCGAAAAACCTATACAGAATATAAAAACTATATTAATAATAATATTATAATCGCACAATAATTCAATATAATAATACATTTCAACACGTATTGGTAATTTTTTTAGAAATAAACAAGTGGTCTACTCCGAAGCATCACATTGTTGTATCAAACAGTTAAAAAATACATTATTAAATTCAACAAAATTCTTTCATAATTTTAATAACTATTGTGGTATGACCTTAATGGTCGTAGGTTTATGACATTTCATTACATACAAATTACAATGTGCACTCAAGTAATTAAATAAACAATTTTACTAAAAAGTAGTCAAAGTCAATGGTTATCAAGTTCATTCTTGTGATTACTGATTACATTCATTCGTCTATGATTATCGATAATATTACTATATTAGTATATTATTTGAACTTTTAAACAATTATTAGCGAAATAGGTATCGTTACTGTTGTTCTATAAGTGTTGTAGATAAATTGTGTGACATCTCCGCATCACATTTCGGCCGAGTGAATCATAATTAATTTGAGTTATAGATTCAAAACGATTGCGCTAATTTATCTCACATTTAACAGAAAATAAGAAGGTGAAAGTAGGTATGACCACACTGTTGTTCAGTATGACTCTATTGTGCCTCGCATTGAAATGGCATTGTTATTAATGTGTTAAATTTTAATTGAATGATAAGCATTATAATAATTATGTTTACTATATAATTAACATGATTAATGATTATGAACGAATATAGTCCAACTTTTTGGTAGAGTTAACAAACAATTATTATTTTAATAGTAATATTAAATTTTTACGAATGCTGGTAGTTTTTGTTTTGCTTTTTCTTCGATTGATTATTTTAAAAATCGCTGAGAATTTTCAATTTTGACCTTCCAAAAAAACCAACTAGATCCAATATGCTACCAAGAAACCTTAGTCGAAGTCAATAATCCTAAAAAAATTACTACTTTTAATTTTATATTGTTAATTCTGTACTATTACTTTTTTTTTAAATTAAAGTGTTTTGTTACTTACATGTAATACCCGTTAAATTGTAAATGAATAAATAATCAAAGCATTTTTCATACTTTAAAAAGTGTCTTCAGGAACAAAAATAAAAAAATCACACATCGATCATTGTAATCTCAATACATTTCCCGCTCAAAATCTAAAATTTAAAATTTAAATCTAAAACTTTACATTTTTCTGATATAAATTGTTATTAAAGGTAATGATACTCTTGAACCGAAAAATTATCAAACTGTCGATGGATGGTCGGAAGGGTCAGGAAATAGATGGAAGAGATCTTTGAAATCACACGAGGTAATGTGCATTGTGAACACTTATATTATATTTATACATTGGTAACCGCTTGTCCGCTTATCTATTTTAATAATCTTGCAATTTATTTTTTCAATCAACTTAAAATTGAATTTGTATCCCATCATAGCATAATATCATGTTCTGATTTCTGTTCTATTTAAGACTATACTTACCATATTTTAGAAATCCTACGCCAGTGATTAAGATATTAATACATAATTTTTAATATTGCGTTTCAATTTATAAAACTAAACTAGTAAATACAGTTATTATTATTTTTTTTTTTTAAGAATTCTGTTTCAAAAGTCGACCGGTCTATGTCCCTACTTACATTTAAATATTGATAGGTACATTTTGTTCAGAAATAATATCCAAGTGGTTTAGAAAATTATTAATTCATATATTATATTGTAGAATGGCGCAGACAACTTACAAATAAAACAAGAGCGTTTTAAAGAAATAAAACGAAGTGCCCCAGAATACGACTACGATGACGAGGAAGAAGATATATTTCAAAAAATTATTGGTATGTGGAACCTATAAACGGCTATACATACATTTAAGTGATTATTATAATAAACAACGTTGAAGTCTTATATTTTTTATGATTAGAATAATTACTTTGGACATTGTTTCAAAACTTTTATAATATATTACGCACACTTTTAAATGTATACAATTCAATACATAGTTTGTATTTCTTTGATTGTATTTTATTATTTCCTGCTAATACATTTACAGGATGTTTCATGGAGTTTTTCAAAACGTTAGAAGGAATTTTTCAGAATTCCGGCTGACATATGTCATATTATACCATAGAAATGAGCCATAAATCATTATTAACCATACTACTTTCCCAGAAAACAATGCTTGGGACTCATCATTATAATATATTTGTATTGAACACCACTTATATATTGCACTTATTTTTTTTAATAATATTTTATGTTGAAATGATAAAAAAAATTACCCAATTATTATTGTTTTAATATAATATGGTATGTATGTATAATTTTTACAAAATCATCAATATGAATGTACACAATGGCTTACTCGCTAAGTAGTCTACAACAAACTTAAGTTTAGGTACAAAAATATATCATTACATAAATATTTTGGACACAAAAAAAAATATTACTGTTGTCTAAAGTACAACTGATAGCTGGTCAATAGAGCTAGACATAATATTTTAATAATATGATATTTTTTGGTCACATATACAATACGTTTTACATTAATAATATAATATTTTTAAAAAAAAGGCACAAAACGGTGCATAACACTCGACTTATTAATATAATAATAATTGTCAGTTATTCTATTTAGGGATTTGAGGCAGTTTCATAATAATAAGGCTTATACAATGGTCCTTAACGAACGTAATAGTATAGTAGTAGTAGCAGTAAAATAATAATTACCATTATTATTAATTACCATCATTATACAAATACAAGAGGGGAAATTATTTTAATTTAATTACAAAAGTATTTTACAAGAAACAAGTGAGATCATAACAAAAAAACAAAATATAACTTGGTTGTACGTGTGGTGGTTTTTAGTCTACGACATTAGTGAATTTGACTAGAAACCGCAAAAAAAAAATTAACATCCAGTTAACAGACCGAATAGTGCACGTACACACGATTAGCATCAGAGAAGACCAAAGTCACACAAAATAAGTAGTCAGTCTTAATAACTTCAACGCTCCGTCGTCGTCGTCTTCTTTACTTTCTTGAGTAATTATACCATGGTTATGTTTCGCTTTTTCTTATCGCCGCTGCTAACCGAACTCAACGATCCCTGCAGACTTTGGTTGAACAGGATCATATTGTTCCGGTGATAGTTGTTGTACTGGCCTGGAGGTGGAAGTCCGTTTTGCTGCTGCTGCTGGAAATGGCCCGGAGCCGTTCCGTAAATATTTTCCGCATTGGCTTGCTGCTGCTGTTGCTGTTGGAGTTGTTGTTGCTGGTACGCTGGCAGAGGAGGTACTGGTGGCGGGTACTGGTTCTCGAAGTCACCGATCTGACCGTAAGGACTGGTCCTGCGCTCGTGTTCATGCAACAGCTGCGAAGCGGTCCACGATTGATACGGACTCAGCGGTTTCGGTGCACGGGTCAATGTTGCTCCAGCAATCACGCTCAGGTGACCATTACTCTGGTGATGGTAAGGATGGGGTTGTTGATGTGGTTGTTGGTGCTGTTGCTGATGCTGCTGCTGCTGCTGGAGATTGTAGTGATGGTCGTTGGTTGCGGCCGGTCCGTATTGTGCCACGCTGTACCGTTTTTTCGCGTCACCCGTGTCGATCAGACAAGGTTCAAAATGCGATTCTAGTTCCGTCTTGATGGCGTTCATGGGAGAAGATATGTTCAGTGCACCACCGTTGCCGTTGGGTATGACAGACACATTGAGCGATTTTTCCGGCTTGGGTGATTGTTTCTCAGGCTTCCGGTTGCGTTTTACGGCACAAAACACGCAGTACATAAGCAAGAGCAGAGCCAGAAGCATTAGGCCACCGGCAGCCGGTACCAAGACGTCGTAGTTCATCTCAAAGTCCCGGGCAATCCCGGGTATGACGTTCTGGTTGGCAGATGTCCAAGACGGGTCGGCTGACGACACTGATGAGTGAGTGGTGATCAACGATGGTGGAGGCGGTGGTGATGGCACTGACACCCTGACCCAGTTAGATACGGGCCCAGGAATGGAATCAGACTCGACGCGACCGTACGCTTTAACAGCCACGAACAGCGTTTGGTCTAAGAGCTCGGGCATCTTGTTCATGTCCATTGAAAACGCGGTCTCTGAGCCAGGAGCCAACGGCAATGGGGCTCCGTGAATCCAAATCGGTGCCGAATCGAAGTCGTTGAGCAATGAGCGAAGTGACTGTGAATACCGGATTTCATATCGGGCTACAGAGTTTCCGCCCATATCTGGCGACGTCCACGTAAGTCGGGCTTTCAACTCAGACTTGACAATCTCAGCTTTCAGGTCGCCTACTCTGCCTACATTCGCCGAAGATGACGACAGATCATCAGCGGTGTATGTGACGGATAGTGGGGTGATAATCCGTTGAAACGGATTAAGTTGTTCCACTGACGGTGATGTCATAAATGATCCGCAGCAGTTCGATTCTGTAAACACAATAATGTGACGTTAAGTTATGTCGTAAGAATTATTGATAACATAAAATTATTAAAATTGTATACTAACCGGAATTTACGGGATTTCGTTCGATGTTCCTGTGGGAGCTGTGTTGCCAAGTGTACGCATTGCTGCTGCTGTCCGAAACTGTGATTTCAAAAGTATAAACTCCAAGTCCACCAATCATCGGGTTGAAATATCGTGAATAAATTCCATCACCTTTCATGAGATCCGGATCTGTAAAAAAAAACAGCAAAATGTAAAAAAATGTTTTCTTTGAAAATGGACTACTGGTATTTCAGAAAACATAAATTATACAAATTGTACTGACCTCCACTTCCGGTATCCAAAAGATCAAACTTTTCACGATGAGCGTTCGAACCGTTTAAACCAGGTCGGATGACAGACACTTCAACCTTGGCGCCGAGCACTGGATAGTCACCTCGTTTGACTTCGGCATAAATCGTCAATGGATTGGTCGTTCCACTTGTCCAAGCCCTAGCTCTGACCACAGGAGAATTCTTCGATAGCGGTTTGGCCATTACTTGCACGTAATGCGGTTGCGGACTTCCCTGGAACCGTTCGATGTGGTATGTCCACGTTCCGGTCTGTAAAACGACAAATAAACATATGGTTAACGTTGAAATAAAACTTTAAAAAAACAACATCAATAAAAAACGTCATCATAACATATAATTTAATAATAAACATAAACATAATAATATTCACCTCGTTTATGGCGGCCGGCACGCTGAGCATTTTAAGTGATAACAGCGAATCGGATCGGGTTGAATAGACCCGTTGTGATGGGCTGGTCAGGGTGATGGCTCTGATCAGTGGATTTTCCGTATTGTGAGTGTAAACGGTGAACTTGGCTGGTTCACCCATATGATCCTCCAAAACGAAGCTCCCGGTTACCACGGTCCGTCCATCGTCGGTTAGTTCACGTCTGTGAATTTCTACTGGCAAATCGCCTTTGTTGCCCTGGTAGTACGTTTCCATAATATTGCGCATGACGTTTGTCAACTTGAAGTAAGTGGATAAGTACGACGTGGCCATGTTGTAACGGTTTTCCGTGACTGTGAACGAAACACCACCAGTCTTATCGGCCATCCAGTCTAATGATTTGAGCCTATTGAGCATCGGGTACGTGACGGTCGCCAAACGTATGTTTTTATCTTTGGCTTCTGACACTTGTTTAGCCAAGTCCGGCGTGTATGATGCCAAAGTTCCAGGGGCGATCACCACGATGACCGAACTGGCAGGACCACTATTGCTTGCTCGAGTTTCCAACATCTGTAAATATAAAAAATAACAAATAAATAAGTTTATTTTATTTTTGTGACTTCGTCCTGCGAAATTCGTGTTGACGTGATTAATCACCTGTATAGCTTCTTTCAACGCGCAGGCTAAACACGCTGGCTGCCTCGAGTCACCAGTAGAGTATGGGATGTTCGACGCCACTTGGTCTCTTGCTTCTGGCGTTTGTAATCTGCTCAGTCCGTGCAGGCGGTTGGCTGAAGAATCGTTGGCCGAAACTAGCCCGACTTCCGTGTTGGCTGGAAGATCGTGTACGGCCCATTTACGAATAGCCAATCTTAAAAAGCTCCAAGATTCCTGCACGATGAAAATGATAATTATTAATCCAGTATTAAAAAAACACAAACAGTTTCGTGGTACATACCCTTTCCATCATATCTTTCGTGTCTTCGATAACCACTACGTATCTGGTGAGCATTTCTTTCTTGAAGATGAACGTCGGTGTCAAATTTTGATTTCCCGATAAGTTCACACTAAATATGACAATAAAAATAAATTTAACAACTACAATAAAAAAAAAACACGCGTATTGAAATACGGCGCGGTGTACGCGCGCAACGATCACTTACCCTTTAGTGAAGTCCGGATGAGTATTTATGACCTCCATGATACTCCGCCTTCCGCAAAGAGCATTTTGTTTGGTCGGCGCGTAACGGTCGTGGCTGGAAGCGTCGCAGAACTTTGTCACTTGAGATGCTGTGGAAAACATGAGTGAAGTTTTTGCTTCCGGATGGACTAATGATGTTGTGTTGATGGAATCACAAGCTCTGTAAAAGAAAAACAAAAATTAGTCTTGTAAAAAAAAACAGTGTCTATCGCAGCTATATTGTATATAACTAACAATCACCGCTGCACACGCACCTGGTCTGGGAAATTGGTTTGTCAGAACATCCGTTGACCTCCGAAGGAGACGTTTCGGACGCGTAACATGACGGGTATACCGCGTCGCCGGCGTATCCGACTTCGTCGAACACGCCGTACCGGTATTTGGCCCACTGTTTGGTCAGCTCCTTACCCAGGTCTCGGGACTCTTGGAACAGCCTGTAACTGGAGTATATGGCGTCACCGGGACGGCCGCAACCTTGTGACTGTTGCGTCCACAGGGCGTCTCCGTGAACCGGGTGCGGAAGTCCGACGAGCATGTCTGGCGTCTCTCCCTGACTGCTGACGATCCCACGCAGATGACCGACACAGTGGTCCGGCCAGTTTTGCGGAAGCATCACGGTCACCGACCGGAAATAAGCCTTGCCGCTGAGCGCTTCGTGCAAAGATTTCGATCCACTAGTGAACGCCGCCTGTGACATAAGGAAAAAATCGTTTTAAATAACAGTTGTAGGTACCTATATATGATATATTATGTACACAAATAATGCATAGTTGTGCTCTCTCTCCGGGGGACGGACATATCGCGTATTATTTTTCACCGGTGTCACGTCAAACCTTACGTGTGCGCAACCGTTGCTGCCACATAGCTAGGGCTTCGTCATCAGTGCTATAACCCCCTCAAACTACCCCATCGGCGGCAAAACGCGTGACGGCGTGAAAACGACGACGTTGATAAAATGTGTATAATATTATTATTATAATGATGAACAAAAAAAAAACCGACTGCTATAATATAATATTATACGTCATGGCGAACAGCGAGAGGTATAGCGGTTGCGGCGGCGGCGAGGAACGTATTTATCACAAGCGCGTCTGCAGCTGTGAGCATGCGCGCCCTGGGCGAGAATTGATTGCCAGTCGAACCGGTCGTGATTTCGAACACGTTATAAATCACCCGGCAGCTAATTCGTCCGTCCGTCAGTGGTTTCGGCACCGAAACCAAAAATAAAAATGTAAAATAATAACGACGACGACGCGCCCGTTACCCACACTCTTTATGGATATATACATACAGACAATCCGAAGGAATCCCCTAGGCCTATTAGTCTCGGTCGGAATGTCCAAAAACCGAGAGAGAAAATAAAACGGCAGTTTATACCGACGTATAAACGAATGTAACACACACGTAATGTATGCAAATGTCTGCAACGTGTGCAGTATTATAATATTATGGTTGTAGTGGGTACGTATCGTATTACCCGGAGAAGACTCTGTGTGGGTAGGTACGAATATCGAGTCGATTACGGTGGTTATAATATTATTATACGGTATCGATTATGTTATAGGTATCGTTGCTCACGTTTGCGTCCGAAAAGTCATTTCCTATTGTTACGACGACGATCGGTCGATTATTGTAACGAAGAGTTTCTAAAAACGCAATCGCGCGCGGCGGGAAAGTGATAGGTCGCTGCAGTTGACTGTAGATAAGAATAACAACATAGGGATAGGATATATTAGGTTGTTAAGGTACTCTTCTTCTAATCTCAAACGTGTCTCGTCGTTAATCGTAGACGGTGTTCGGTATTAGCGTTTTTTTCCATAGTATATTCTTCCTAGTCTTCACACGAATCAATTAAAACCCAGTGGGTTACGCGCGCGGTGATCGAGCGGCGAAAATTTAACCGAAGATTTAGCGAGAAATCTATCGTACCGTGGCCGACCGGTTAATTGCTAACCACGGTACCTCATTATAACCGACGGTCGTGTGTGTATATACTACTTAAAATAATTCTCGTATATTATGTACGTAACACAGCCACCGCGCCGTGTGATTGATGCCGGGCAAGCGCGTAACGAGATTATGATTCGGAGATTTTCTCGACGGAAAAACGGAAGCAAAACACGCGGACACACCCGTTTGATTTATGAAATTAATCCCATTTTAAACGGTAAAATTTCCGACCGGGATTTCGTCTAATTATTGCCATAAGCCTAAAACCTAAAGCCGGTCGATTTCAAAGAGCGGCGGCGCAGAGACCAGTCCTGACTAGACTGGTTTTGTGTATGTATATGCGGCCGAAGAATTTTCATCGAAAATCCGCCGTGCCAGAAAGAGAGGAGAGAGTGTCCAACGCACGAGTTATTTGCATACGACAACGACGAACCCGACAACAATGGGTGTGAATGTAGAGCGCGCATCGGAAAAGAAAAACAAGAATCGGTTACGATAGAAACGACTATTGAAATCACCGCCCGCGACCCGACCGCCGTTTTTCGCGTACGTCACCTGGGCGGCTAAATATATGCAGCGTGTAAACACACATTATAATATCATATTATTTTGTGGAGAAATCTATCGCGAAAAAAAATTATCCATATACCCGCGAGTTTTACGAAATGCGAGCGATAAAAAATATAATCGTCGGGCGGCGGAGAAAGTGGCGGCGGCACAATATATATATTATTTTATACATAATATCTATACTATACGGTTATTATTATTTTTTCGGACATATAAAAATGTAATATGCTCGAACCGCACGCAACCGAAAACGATTTAATAATAATAAAAAAAAAAAACGGCAATTGGCGAGCGAGCGCGTGACACGTATCGAAATCAGAATATCGAAACGACGCGATTTCGACACCACTTAGGTCCAACCGCCAACCATACACGTGGCCGGATAAGTCGCCGAGTCGCAAGTCTGAGCTAGATTCTGCTATTTTTTTTTTCTGCTTATTTTCATCATCATTTTTCACTGGACACAGGTTCACTTCCGACGATGACGACGACAACGACTTATTATTTATTATTATTATTATTGTGTTTTTTTTCCTACACCATTCAGGAACGATAGAAATACGAGTTAGAAGCTCTTATACCCCACGACGACCGAATAGTCTCAGAACGTTTTTCTCACGAGGTCGGCCGAGGAATTCTCCGGGCCCATTACTGCATGCCCGGCGAGCCGATTACACACACACGCGCACCACGTGTGTATATATTTATATATGTATAATTCCAAGTCGTGGTATTGAAAACCCAACCGCGGTAATAGTATCTGTGTTCCGATAGTATGTGTATTCTTTATATTGTGCGACCAGTTTTAAGTTTAGAGCATAGCTCGCCCCGAGAAAATTCCACTGACAGAGATGTCGCGTACACGAAGCCGGCGGCGGACACCCCCTGCACTGTGCCGCTCCGTTACCCAGTTACCGACGATTTGTTTTGATGTTATTAACTTATTTTGCGGGGCAGAGTAGATTATTATTATTAATGAATATTGTACGCGGCGACGGTTCTTGGCGTACGCTATCGAGCGCATATTCGCCGTGTAACGTCCTGTATATAGTTGATGCGAGAGATTGGTTTTATTTTTTGTTCGCGTGAAAAAAATTCAAATTAATTCTCGGACAACGGCAAACCACGGCTACACAATAACAATATAAAAATGATACACGCATTTTTCCAATCATAAGACACGTCCCCGCGCGCGAGCTCGATCGGTGCCAAACCGGCGGCGGACAAACACGCGCTACAATTCGACGCGCGTTGACACCTCCGCCGCCGCCGATCCGATTTACATAAAAAAAAAACGCGAACCGTATCCACAAAATGACTATCACTGTTTTTTTCCCTCTCGTTATTATTTCTACTACTATTCTTATTCAATCTGCTCCGGGGAAAATTCTGTAAGCGACCGCATCGATCGGACACGGGTTACATATTATTATGAGCCGCTACTATGCGGACGAGAGTTTTTTTCGTATGGCTTCTCCTCCTCCACTTGTACAGTGCGTACCTACGTATCTCGTAACGATTTATTAATAGAGAAAACGTTATTCATAACACAATACCATTTTATAGTGTACGTTATTACTTATTATATTAGAAGTACTAGTACAACGATACACGACGTAGTTTATAATTTGACGTCTTACTACTACAACTGCCTCTGCCCATCACGCGGACGAGACGCAACATCCACCACCACCACCACCCTGTACTCAGAAACATCATCTCCCGTCGCGAGGACCCACAGGGGTTTGAAAATCAATTCGTGTCCGACGACGCTCGTGAATCGGGCCTTTTGTCGTTAAATATGCGTATATGATGGCGTAACGAGTACATACCACGCCTGGTTAATACCTGCAGCTACCTACACTACCCGTGTATAACTACATCATGTTCAATAATATAATATTATTAGCCGTGTCATAGTGATGTGGTATTCATGTGTGTGTGCGCCGCAGCTACGCGAAACACACAATACATCAACCGGTCGACGGTCTGTTGTCGTCCGATAATTAGCCTTCTGACGGCGGCCGACCTGTCCGGAACACAAAGCGGGCGCGCGTCCGTCGGATGATGAGTCGAACACGTCGAACTGCGGCGTCAAATACGCGTTAAGTTTAGAGGACCGCGGGACGACGTTGGCAAATTACCGACGGAGATGGAAAAACAACCTAATAACACTCGACCGTCTCTTCTGACCGTGTGGTGCTTGGCCATCAAAAATCTCCGTGCGAGACGTTTGCATCCGATTGTGCCGAGTCGGAAAAGTACAATAACCGACGGCTAATTAGCGTTCACCTCGCGTGATACAAAATGTACATGTATACATATTACATATATACATCGTATATAATAGATATAATAATAACCCGAAACTCATTGTTATTTGTCTCTTATACGCCGTCGCTACCAATAAAAACCGCCTAAAACAATATCTTGTGAGTTTTCAAACCTTTACCCATAGTTTCCACTTGTGCAAGTAAAAACGTGCGACGCTAATCCCTCTCACCCTGCCAGACGGAGTTTTTGTGTGTAGCTCGTCGCCCGGGCGGTGACGCCGAGTGCATTAAAAAAAGAATGATAAAAACGAAAAAAAAAAAAAATTGTAATCCTTCTATAAAGCGCGTACCGTCAACCGCAGGGTGTGTGTATGTGATTCGGTGGGGGGGGGGTCCATCACGTAGGATAATGGAAATGCTTATTACGGTCGCCCGTATACATAATGTCGTCCGAAGAAATATCTCATAATGCACTCTCTGTCTCTCTATGCCATAAGTACCGGTTATTATTATTATTATTATTATTATCGTATATATATAATATCTCCCCGTAGCGTTCTCTCCGTCTTTCTCGAAAACCCGATCCATTAACGGCCGACACGCCTCTTACCTGTTGGGCCGTGGAAACAAAAAAAAATATGTTATATATATATATAAACACGAGGAACGCGACGTCTTCGTATATATAGATATGCATATAATATACAATATTGAGTGTTCGAGTGTACGACGAGACGTGTACCGGCCACAAGTTCATAACACACGATAAACGTTGAAAATGGGATTTACCATCGCGTCTCGATCGGTCGGTCGGGTTTTGCGGTTTTTCGACTTGCTAGCCCACTGCACCGCAATCGATGATTTTCATCGATATTCACACTTTACACGTGTAAGC